TTTATTGTTGTCAGATGATCAACCAGTCGTTTAAGTCTCCTAAGCCATAATGTGAGATTCAGTAATTGTGTCAGATTAATTCAAGTACCAACAGATTCATACAATTCAGTAAAAAACTGGTTCATTCGTTTTATTTGAAAGTCATTTGTTTGTGAATCGAACCTATGGTTGCCCTCGTGTTTGTGATTTACTAAAACAAACTTTTCGTTTACTAAAAAGAACGCTAGTTACGTATAACCGTGGTTCTTGAAAAGGGGATTCTGTTAAATAAAATATCTCCATTTGGAGTGGACTTTGAGCTTTGTAATCTTGCAGATAATTTTTTATGCTCAAACAGCAACATTACACACTAACTAAAGGCGAAAAAGTGGAAAAGCACAATAGGACCCCTTTAATACAAACATACAGGGTGTTACGGAACAGAGACTCACAACAAGGATACAGTTAATAAACAGTTTGAGATCGGCAGGTATACGGACATAAAAAGGTATGCATCACTGATGTTGACAAACAGGAATGATGAATGAGATACTGACAGTTCCTTTGTGTTGTAGATGGATGAGGTGGATTGCAGCTGGTGCACACACAGAAGATGGGAGAGAGGTAAGTAGCGGTTGTACGAGAGGGAAGACGAGGAATCCACGGAAGACATGGAGGATGCAGGTAGACAAAACAGTAAACGTAACATACACTATAGCCTACTGGAGATAAGTGATGAACGTAAATGAGTCCTTACTCAAACGACATTGTGACAGAGTGATGTGTGTGCTTATATGCTGCCTGTGGTGATGAGGTGATGATGTGCAGGTGCATGTGATCATGAATGACGTGCAGGTGCGGGTGATTAGTATTCAGGTGATAGCGATCTCTGTGATTGGGTGATGGTGGAGCCTGACTGATCCCTGACACAGGGCTTGACATTACCTTTTTTGCTCACCAGCCACTGTGCCTAGTTTTTTTCCAAAGTTACTAGCCACCCAGCATTTTCACTGGCCACAATTTTGACATTGATACCTTGCGGAAAATCTTCCATATAGATATTTTTAATGTTATCATCAGTGGTGGAGGAAGTACTGAATTTCAGTACTTAAGTAAAAGTACAAAAAACCAGAGACATATTTACTTTAGTAAAAGTAGAAGTACCACAATGACAACCCTACTTAAGTAAAAAGTACCTGATTTTAAATGTACTTTAAGTATTAAAAGTAAAAGTACTTGCATAACAATTTATTCTCTTAATGTCTATATTCTAATGATTAATAAAACTCATTCAACCCAATACTCATATAATGATGTTCAATATGATGGAAAAGCAGTTATATTTTAAGTTTTTGTCACCATTTCTGAACAAGCTTGCAATTAGGCAATATACACATCAAGCTTACTATATAGCCTACCCTTACTATATACGGTATATATATATATATATATATATAAACACATATTATGTTAAAACGCCGTATATGACGGCGTTTGGCTGTAAACGCGATTCATTTATGGCGTAATTCTGAACATCTTGGCTTGCCATACTAATCCTAACCCGAACCAAACGTATAATACACACGCACCCCACATCACTACTAAACCTACCTTTCTTTTACTGTCTATGAAACCTACCAATGCGTTTCCTAGGCATGTAAAAACTAATTTCCGCGTATAAATTGCACGATAAACACACTGCGTGTTATAGAGACGCATTTAGTGTGACCGGGTTGATTTATCTATGGCAACCAAACTTCACTGGTGAGACAGAAACGTGCGACGAACGGACGGTCAGGATGACGTTTTGGCAGGGGAAAAACTGATCAGAAAATGTAACGAAAATGTAACAGAACGTTGTAGAAATGTAGTGGAGTAGAAAGTATAATAATTGCTGCAAAATGAAACGAAGTAAAAGTAAAAAGTATGCACTATTGATTCTACTTAAGTAAAGTACAGATACGTGAAAAAATTACTTAAGTAAAGTAACGAAGTATTTGTACTTCGTTACATTCCACCACTGGTTATCATAATTTGGCAGCAGATATATTAGGCTGTTGTCACTTTAAGAGCTGACACACGGATTCATTATACTGTTACACATGCGTTTTCTTTCTCAACTGTTTACATTCTGTTTACATCATAACTGACTGTGTTTATGTGAATACTCGCCAATATAGCCAAACCATCGTTTGAGAGAGACTTTATTTAAAATGACTGGAAAGCTGCAGAGATGTTCTGGCATTTGATGGGGCATGACTCACATTAACAGGCCCATCCAGGCAGAGAAAAACAGGGCTGAGAATAATTTAAAAACTGTCAGATCTGTGACTGAGGCAGCAGATACAGTTTTTGTTTGAGCTTCGCTCAGCCAGACTGTGTACCGGCTAGCACGAGTATATATGCCAGGTTTCTTTGGCAATGCACAGTCCGCTCCATGACTTGTCACACCATAAAGGTAAAATCTCTTCATGTCTTGGCTGTAACACTGTAGAGGGCCTCCGCTGTCACCCTTGATTGAAGAATATTCCAACAGATATTGTTAATCACTGTCTATCACTGACCAGTTACTCTGCAATGTGATATAATGAGATGACATTACCTGACATGTGTCGACACCCCCTTTGTCAAATCCTGCACAGATCATGTTGTCATTAACATGGCCATTATACCAGCTTCTCTGGTTGCAGATTCCAGTATCAATGAGCTCAACTTCAGCTTCCTGAAGAGTGTCAACTAACATTCCTTAAAATACAATAAAATGTTTCAGACCTTTTCTGATCAAGAAATAAGCATAATTCTAAAATCTCATCAAGAATCAAAAGAAACAATCTTTAATAGGCTACCTTTTAAAAACAAATTTTGTTAAAAAAAGAGGAGAACTGATTATATAAACTCATTATTAACAGTTTAACTGCCAGAAAGATGCCAAAAATAGAGCTCCTCTATTACACATTCTGCTAAGTAATCGTCTGTTAATAATGCAGAGATTTCGAGTTTTGGACTGTTTTTGGATATTTAAACTCTAACCTTGTAACACTGAGCTGCCCCAACCAGTGATGTAACATGAGCCGAAGCTGAGTTGTTTCTCGTCCATTTCATCTTCAATCATACACAAAGGCTGCACATGATTTGTGAAATGCAAAGAGCGATGCAGATGCAATAGTGCCACATCGTTTTCAAAATATGATCGGTTGAACTTCTCATGCAGGATCACTTGCTGAACTGAGCGATACTGGACACCCTTTTCTCGCTTGGATCGAGAATTCACTCCAGCCACTACTTGTAGTTTATAGTTGTTACTATAATAGAAAGATGCAAAAGATCTGCAATAAAAACTATTATTTTGAAATGAAGTTGCTTTTATTGTTTTAGGCATTTTCTGGGTGCGTAAAAATGTTTGGTGTAGTAGGTAGACTACATTCAATGCTAATTTAAAAAGAAATACGCATAGGTATAATTAACTGAACCATTACTGCAAGTAACGGCCTATATCATTTTAGAGCAACTACCTACCCTTGCTTATTTAACTAAATGTGCATATATGCTCAGATAAAATGTATCACCTGTTTGCTTCAGCAAACCACAGTCATTGCTGAAAGTTAAAATAATGAGATGTGGAAACTGCACACAAATGTTACATGTTATGAGGGAGGAGAATCACAAAGTGCTCACCTATTTCTGAAGCAGTGGGATGCTGTGATTATCCACCGATGGCTTATGATGGACCCACCACAGATATGCCTCGACATCCTCTGTATGCTCACCTGCCAAGGCCATGCACCTTTTAATGCAGAATGGCCTCCTGCAATTCGAAACGGCTTTGATGGACCTTGCAAAGTTCGCTTTCCACAACCTTAAAAGAGCATTATAGTCAGTTGCACTGAACACTTCTGATCACTTTTTTGTGCCATAACCACTGATGATACCACTGGTGGGTAAATGGGTAAATAATATTTACAGACAGTGACATTTAAGGCTAAAACTATTAAAATGTTTATATGCATTTTTGATGCATGTAATATTTAAAAGGTCTTATAATGTATTTAGAGGTCTCCGTCACAAATTAAGGCATGGGAAGACCGATTTTGAATAAGTAATGATTGAATTGCATCATAAAATTTCCATATAAAATTTCTGTATAATTTAAAGTATTGTTACATTAAATGAAAAAAAAAAAAAACATTTATTTTTGTATTATCAGTTGTTTTGTTTTCCCAGAATTGCCTGATGAAAGTATAAATAAATATTACATTATATGATACCTTTTGTTTGAAACTGGACAATTTTTGACTCCCATCCATTACAATTGTGACCATAAACAACAGACATACTTTCCACTAACGTTTTATGAAATATTGTTATTTTTTACAAAAAGTATGCAGTTTGTTTCCTTTGGGGTATCCAATAGTAAAATAGTAAAAGTATTGTGTTCACATCTCATTAAATGAATTAAAAATAATAATAATAATATAAAAAAATACCTGCAATCCCAGAAAGCAGCGTGCTAATGAAGACTAATTGTAGAGCCGTTTTAAACATTTTAAATGTGAAGCAAAACGAGAGACAGAAAGAAGACAGAACAATCGGATGTCCTTTGATTATTAGGTAATCTGAAAAGATTCTAAGTGACGTAACATCGTTCATACTGTAATGTCATGAAAGACCCGGCCGGGCAAGGAAGAACATGCGAATCAACACATTTCAAATCTTTACTTTATGCAGATAATAGCATCAGTGTTTTGTATAGTACATATCACCAATTTCATGACATTTTAGAGTGCTGTAAAGGACACTAAAATGATTGTAAACGTCATCCTTTAGAAACTAGGCGACAATTAGAAACAACCATTAGATGAATTGCATGCGAGACGAGTGTGTGTCGCTCATAATAATACACCAAGCCAACGACCTGTTTATTTTATTCAGCGTGAAAAAAACGTTTTTAAAATAATTTCAAACACAATTGTGGCGGTGTATTTTTGATTCAGACATTCATACACGGTATCAATCGTCATTCCTGAAACGCCTCATTCGAACAAGGACCTAACTGGGATTCAATGAAACAGAACTGAAATTAACGCCTTTTATTGTGGAACTGGTGGTAACGTTACCTATTGGCCGACACTCCCTTACTGCTGGGAGTCATCAATATGCAGGGTAACGGTGCACACTGAAGGAAGGTAGCACCAACAATATGGCGACATCCGCAATTTCTTCCGAATTTATTCGACATCTGCAGTGCAGTGAGGATTTTTTGGATACCCGCTAACGTAATCATTGTGAGTATTGTGTTTCAATATCGCTCTCGCGGTGTTTATTACGTGCGATGGAAGTCATTGCACTGTCAGTGAATGTCGCAGAGATGCTGCACGCTGAGGGGGTTTTACTGCTGGACGCTCCTCGCAAAATGTACATTCGCCTTTTATTCCCTTATGACGTTTTATAAACTCACCCTTTTCGGTCAATTGAACCAGTTGTGATTAGGCATTTTCATTTCCCCCTCTCAAATTACAGTTTTAATATGTCATGATATGAAACACATTATTCCAAGGCTATATGTGGTGTGTTATATAGCCTACTTGCATGATCAATGCCGTGATCTGTAAGCCTTGTACCCTCATCTGAATAAAGGTCTTATTGTCAGCATTAATCGTATGTCAAGCTGAGCAAATGAGCAAAAATGCACATGTGGACAGGTTTGAAATGATTAGTTGTAATTAAGACGTTCAAATGACAACATGCTTGGCTGCTTATTGATTGTAGGGTGGACGCAGGTTGCACGGGTGTGGAATGCTGTACATTTTCTTGTTTATGTTCCTCGCGAGCAGAAACCTTGCACAGCATCGTCGAGATATATCGCTGTTTTCTAATAACTTTAGCCGTTTTCTCCCAAACCGGATTACATGACTGAAACATGTTTGCGCTGTTTGTATAAAAGGGTAAATACGACGAGAGAGCGAGAAGAAGAAAAAAAACCACTGCAGTATTTTCCGTTTTTCCTTCGTGGTTTCGGCCCGCTTTCGTGAAGGTGTTTATAAACGTTAGTTTTCAGGCAAAATTGTTTTCTGATACAGAGGAAGATGTGACAACGTTTTGGAAAAGGCAAAGACGTTGTTCGTGAAACCGTTGTGCTGCTAAGCCATGGATTTCGTGACCAAACATTGCTGAAATAAGGTAGGACCACTGCGCATTCAATCACATAACGATACAACTTGACGTTTTTAAAATAAGGTTATGGTTTGTTTGAAGGAATTGTTGTTACAGATGTATGTGCGAATAGCCTGCATAATGTATTGACAGGTATTTTGCATATGAAGACATTAAGGTGTCGCTTTGAAGAAGAGAATTCTGTGGCGCATAGAAGCTCGAAAGACATATGGATGATGAAAATGAATCCATAATTTTATTCATAATGCTTCTTAAATTTACCCATGTCCTCACATCTGTAAATAAGCTGGACCACATACCCCACCTGACATTTTCTAAAGCTATCATGTGTTCACGGGCAGCCCAGCATCTTCTTCAGGTATTTCTAGATGTTTCGGCCCACCCAACAGAAGCCCACCTCATTCAACTGATACGGATTCCCTCACACCATTTTTATAACTTCATGAGTTGATTCCATATCCTTTATCTTAAGCACTGTAAAATTTGAAATAAATTAATTCAAGGCATAGAGATATTTGAGTTTTCTGTTCTGTCTTTATAGTAACACTATACTGTTTAACCAATCTGAATATGATTGTGAATACAAAATTTCTACAGCTAAAAAAAATATTGCCCTTTTTATAGTGTGGTGCTGATAGGACAGCTCCTGTAAGTAAGTTGCCTTTGTTTGTGCTGTTTGGACCACAAAAGCTCAGCTTGTTTCACTAATAAGACATTAAAAAAGGCTAATGAAAGGGTGTTTTGATTTGTTTAGGATAATCTTTTCCTGTTTCATTGCTTGACTTGCTGAGAGAGAAAAAAATCAACTTAAACTAACCTAAGCAGTTTAAGCTGGTCTTCGTGCCTGACCAGGTAGAAAGTCCCAACAACCCCTTTAAAACCAATAGACCAGGTGAGACAACAAACCAGCTCAGGCTGGTTTAAGCTGCTTTTTTCCAGCAGGTCTTGAAATTATATCACATTTATATACCCAAGGGACTTGTGCCCCTAATGGCGTCCGTTATGTCACATTCTTTGATATTTTGTTCACGTGTCTGATTTGCTTGAAGGTATATTTACTTCAAAGGCAGAATGGAAATGCCAAACAGTATTTATGAAACAAAACTGTGGAATTGGATGGAGAGAAATGCTAAAAGTGAGTTAAGTAGCTATGTAATATCAGGATATGGCTTGGTTAAGTGTCTGGCCCATAAATGCACACAAGCTTTTAGATGGTGTGGTTCACTACGCCTCCCTTCACCCACCCCATTTCCTATTCTGCTGCCTTAGGGACATAACGCATGTCCCAAATCGACATCTCAGTGGAGATTTTGTTCATAGGGAAGACAGGTTCAGCTAAAATCTGCTTGTGCTATTGTGGTATCTTCTAATCCAGTTTACATCCTCCCTGAACCCTTTCATCTAAAATAGAAACATCCATCATAATGAGCCAAAAGAACCATACCATGGGAAGTGACAAACATTAAGTATCACCTTCATCTGCTCATAATGGAGGGTGCTTTTCATTTTTCATGAAGTTGATGACTCATCCTGGATCTAGTGCCAGTCCCTCTTTAACATGCTCTCAATTTAGCAACAGATTGTTTTGATGTGTAAGGTAATATTTTTAGATGCAAGGCTTAGCGTTTTACTTTACTGCACAGAGCTGAACATATCAGTTTGTGTGAGTGGGTGATGTAACAAGGTAGTACTGTTCAGTAAGACTTTATCATTCCAAAAGCTAAAATGAAATCTAAATGACAGGGTTTTTTTTTTTTGGATTGCATTTTTTTTAATTGTCACAAGCTTGAATGGGCGCTCTTGTGTTGGATTTTAAGTATAAGTGGTATAAATAATAACCAAAGTGTAAATTGTGATCGTTTGCAAATTCACTCTCTATTTTGTAAATGTTAGATCTTATTGTGAATGATTCAACTATGTATGTTTTTTAACCTTGTAATTTTTAATTAAAATGTCATACCTCCTGACTGATGACATATGCCAGACTTCTACAATCACTTAGTCAGGTTAAACCCCACCCCTTTCTTACAATTGACTGTTGATCTGTCGCTACTTTCATTTCATTGCGACTTTAAGTCCTAAACTTTTCAATTCCTCCATTTTCTGATCTCTATTGAAGAGAAGTGAAATATAGACAAATATTAATGACATTAATCTTAATGATTATAATCACACAAAACGTTGCCGTTACATAGTGGTTTTGCAGCTAAGCTGACTTAATAAGAGGCCTTAATATGATATGATTCGGGTTTTTGCTAATGCACATCTTATACTACACCCAGATAAATGCATAGACATTAAAGTAATATAATATTGATATTAGCTAAGTATCACGACAACAAGGTCATGGGTTTGATTATCAGGGAATGCATGAACTGATAAAAAATTATGAAAGCATCTGCAAAATGCTTTACTGAAAATATTGCATGCAAAACTGGAAAGCTCTTTCTTGATCTGGTAAGCTCTAATCTCATTGGCTAAATTTATACAACTTTTGGCAGTAAGTAACTTGTGGATGAGACGGCTATAGGATTCTGACTTTATGAACTAGATGTCCATTAATGTCCTTTTCTCTTTCCCACATAGAATTAGCTGCCGTGGAGGGTACATAACAGGAGAAGAAGTTGCTGCAGGATGAAAACATGGCTGCACCCCTTATTGCACCGCCAGGACCTGACAGCTTCAAATACTTTACCAGGGAATCTCTGTGTGAAATCGAGAAGCGCATTGAGGAGGAGAAAGCCAAGCCGCCTCCTAAGCCAGACACCAGCTACCGCGACGATGACGACGAGAACAAGCCCAAGCCTAACAGTGACCTGGAGACGGGCAAGAGTCTGCCCTTCATCTACGGGGACATCCCTCCTGGCATGGTGGCAACACCACTGGAAGATTTAGATCCCTTCTATGCTAATAAGAAAGTGAGTGCATCATCTTGTCTCTTCATGTGTCCTGCATTCACACATTACCTTATCTCACCTTGGATCATTCCAGAGTTGGAGATGCATTGCTGAGGATGTTTTTTTAACCTTTTTTAAGTCCACTAGTTATTTTTCTCATATGTATATATATATATATATATAAACGCCTGATGGTAATCATGCATGTTCCTTGTAGGATATACTTGATACATGATAACATGTTAACCATATGAAAATATGAAAAACTTCCTCCTGTAATCCACTACAGTGCTGAAGCATTTGTTTGTGGCTTGTGTATGTTGTAGATTGTCTGTGAGATGATGCTTTAAAGAGGTTTGAGGAGGAGGTCAGTTCAGTTTACAGTTCCAGCTGACAGACTTGTTTTAATTGTTCCAGCAGTAATCCTTTAGAAAAGAAAAGCCAAAAGAAACACTTCAGTGCATTTAAAGAACAGTGCACTGTTTTAGAACAGGGGCCCGTCCTTCGTACCTCGCCTTAATACATCTGAGATGATTTGAAAGATGCCAGATATTCTAATCGTGATAACTGATCTCTGGATAATTTGGTTCTTTAAACAAATTTGTGGATTTGATTCAAATATCTGGAATAAGTTGATTACTGGACGTTCTTGTGTTCATTGGAAAGGGCAGATATATCAATATAAATATATCAATTGAAACTAGCAATGCAGCGATTGGCTGGCAGAAATACAGCAACGTAATGACATCATATTAAAAAAGAACATCACACACCTAACGAAAATTTCGGATTTTGAATTTCTGGACCTTTATAAGGAAACAGCCAAGCGACCAAAATGATATAAAAGTTATAATCGATAAATGAATTGTGTGATGTTTGTTACATGATTCCCAATTATTTCCATTATTTCACGATTTCTAATATTTGTACAGGCTTTACATTTTTATTTCAATGTTGTAATGAGAAATTGATTTAATTTTACCTGTTCCGTGACAACATTAATTAAATTTTGACGGCACATCAGGACAGCATTTTTTTACGAAGTAATCTGCATCTCCTGCGCTGCATCAATCCACTCCCATAATAGCTGTCGCCATTTAAATTAATGCACGGCTCAGACTAACTGTACATTGTGTGTGTAAGACTTCAATCAAATTATTAAGTAATTTTCCCCTCACAAATAAATCTTGTCAATGAGTAAAACTGGCTGTGTATACATTATGATAAGCCTACACAACATGATAATATTATTTTCAAATTAATTGTTAAATTATTATTATTTATTGTCCCAGGTTCATTAAGTACTCCTGTAAGAAAGTAGCAGTCACTGGGACAGACTTTAAGCATCACCTTTGCTTAAAAAGATGCAATCTAATCCCGTTTACATGAAATCAGCCTGCTCCCGAGCAGGTTTGAGCTTTCGGACCTGTTGCTATGATAGCTACTCCAGGATGAGCTTTGAAGAACCTATCAATCCTGGGTCATGTCAAATCGTCAACAGTGAAATCCAGGTAATTGAGTAATCCACATACGACGAACGGGCCCCTGCTATTTAAGCAGTAGTACAACAGTAAGAGAGTTAGGTCATTTAAAGACCTTTAATGTTGTTGATTAGGAGAAATCTGTGTTTGGTACTCTTTAGTGTTGCTATATGTACATGAAAAGATCAAAAACTTATACTATTTTTCACATTTATTTTGGGGTCAGTAATTTTGAAATGGTTAATGCTCAACAAGGCTGCATTTATTTGATCAAAAATACAATACAAAAACAGTAATATTGTGACATTTTATTACAATTTGAAGTATTTATTCCTATTCTAATATATTTTAAAATTAAATGTATTCCTGTGCTGGCAAAGCTGGATTTTCAGCAGCCATTATTCCAGTTTTCAGTGTCACATGATCCTTCAGAAATCATTATGCTGATTTGGTGTTCATATTTTTGTGGAAACTTATTATATACGTGGAAACATATATCATATTTTTGTGAGGAATCCTGAAAAAAAAAAGTTCAAAAGAATGGCATTTATTTCAAATAGATTTTTTTTGGAACATTAACCTTCAGACGTTCAGATGTTCTTGCTTCCATTGAAGCTCAAGACATGCTTTGGAATCTTTTCAAATCATGCTAAAGGACATGATTATAATTGTCTATTACACAAACTTGTGGAGCTCATAGTTTGGATACATTTTAAAATGTTTTAATGTATTTTTCAATGAAACTTTTCACTCAAATATAATTTATGATGAAAAATGTATATATTATAAAAATGCAGCATTTTGTGCTCTAAGACTATTAAGCGGATGCACAGTTTCTTGGTGTTACTAGTCATAAAACGGTGCTTTGTTTTTGTTGCAAAGGAGCAATATCAGATGCAAGATAGCCCTCAAACAGATTTTCAGGAGTGAATTGTTGTTATGAGATGTAGCCTAAGGGAGGAAGATGAGGTCATCTTTTCTGTCTGAGTTGTAATGGAGCCCAACGGGTTCAGCCCTGTGTTCACATTTGGCTCGGTGCTAAGTGCAGTGGTGAGACTTCAGCAGGGTCTGCCACATCGGACTTTACTAAATAATGCAGACTCGTTTGTGTGGTAATGCCTGTTAATGTGTGCATGTGCTTAAGCATTACCCTGCCTCCCTCTCTTGCTTTCGCCCTCCGTCTCATTCCTCTGCCTCCCTCTCATGCAGCGTACACTGACTGTTATGTAACCGCCCGCTCCATGCACAGGAAGGAGATTTCAGTCTCCTGATGAAAACCTCATGGAGGAGCGTATGTGAAACAGACAGTCTAAGGAACTGAATTATGCTCAAAACCGAATACATTTTTATTGCAACACGTTAGACCTTTTTTCAGATGCATTTCTGGACCATGCTTTCATGCACATGCCATAGACGATCTATCCTGCCCTCTCAAGGATTTAATGGCTCTTTGATTTAGGGCTGCACGATTTGGGGAAAATGTCATATTGCGATTATTGAGGTCAATATTGCGATTGCGATATGCGATTGCGATATTATAAACAAATGGTTTCATGAGTCAACTTGCTTGATTCTAAAGCAAAATGCACACACAGATTAGTGATACTTCTGAAATGTGTATTTCTCAACTCAAACTAGCAACAACAACTAAATGATTGATAACATCTATAATGATCAATAAGCCATTGAGGTCTGGATAAAAATTAATCCACCCCCATTTAAAACATTAATTATAGCCATCCACCAGGAGTGATTCCACAATTGAAAGCTATCATTTTTTCAAAAACATTTATTAGGCTTCAAAAAATATAACAGCTTTTAATTTAAGTGAACTTAATAATACTCACATAAACCCATAAAAAAGTCTTATTTATCTGTGCCCTTCCTGTCAGGTAGGACATATACAGAATTTGAAGTTATCAAACAGTCTGCACTGCATATAAATTATAAATTATATATAGACTAATCCTTATTAAAGCTACACAAGTTCTTTAGTCAAGAGCAGTGAGTAATTTTCTTTTTTCTTTGATTAACTTTACTGACAGAAAGCTTTGGCTGCTGCCTGGCCCTTTAAGAGCAGCCGTTGTAGAGACACGCGCCTCATTCTCTCACAACTCTTTACGTCCATCATAAGACTGCTCTTATGTTATGAATGAAGATACTCGACAAACAACATTTTGGCATAATTGTGTGTGTTATTGTTCGTTCAAGCGGAAAGATAACTATTCCGGTCTGTGCATGCGCATGGGCGCGCGTCTTTCTGTGAGTCACAGTCGGACATTCACAGGCTGCGCGCTCTCTTTTGACTTGTCGCGCATTAATGGTTTGAACTTTAAAGGGGTCATAATGGTACATGCACTTTTACAAGTTGATTGTACTGAAATGTGTGTTGGCAGTGCCTGTACACAACCATCATAAAATGATAAAAATCCATCCAGTGTTTTTATTTTAATCTCCTTATATGTTTTCCCCTGTCTCAAATCAAGCCGTTCGACCGTGTGACGTCACACGCTCGGAAGCCCCTCCCACGATTGTTGATTGACAGCCGGGTTTCAACACAGACCCGCCCTCGCTCGTGAGCCAGCTGTCAATCATAGTCTGCGCGGACCGGCGCGGTCATTGTTGATATGCTGGAGCTGTCTATGAGCAGAATGGCGTCTAAGCGATTGTGGTGTTCTGTTCTTGGGTGTAATAACGAACACTGCAGTCATTTTTATGTTCCTAAATCCGAACCGCTGAAGACGCAGTGGCTGAGTTTGTTTTCGAAGGGAATATTCCCCACGAGCAACGTCAATGCTCTCATGTTTGCGCGAATCATTTCACACACCAGACTGCTTATAAACGAGGAGGGTCAGTATAAAGCTGGTTTTGCTAAGAAGCTGCTCCTGGACCGGTACCAAGTTTTCGTGTTCCTGCTGAACCTCCAAAATAACTGAAGTGAGTGAAACGTTTTATTAATCTTTAATATTTATATTAATCTTTGCAAATCGCTAGATGCACGCTTCACAATGAATGCGTCTAAGGTTTACACTCAGGGTACATTACGGCATGTTTTCTATGTACGACGTTCTCAATATAATTCATAATCCCACGTCTATAATGAACAACGCGTTATGGTTATTGTGTTACAAACGGTGTACACAGAACAGAGAGGCGGGGTGAGCAAAGCTCATTATCATTTAAAGTCATATACACTGAAACGGCGTGCTGAAAACAGAGCTGTTTTTGACCAGGTAAAATAAGTGTTTTCTTACAATACTAATGAGAATTTTTAATTAAAGTATATTACAAAGTTTTAATTTAGACTCTAAAGAATCATATTAGCTTGTACAAAAATGGCATTATATGACCCCTTTAAAGCATTCGCACGAATAAGAGCGGGATCATGTAACACTAGCCAAAAGATGACAAAAAATAACAGATGTTGCGTTAATTGCGTTAACAGCCCTAATTTGTTTATTTTACATAAAATCGCAGCATTCTGCGTCATATAATCGCATAGGCTTGACATCGCGATTACGATTGCGATATGATTAATCG